GGGCTTTGGGCTGGGGCAGGAGGTTGGGGTGTGGGAGAGGGTGGGGATTCTGGGAGGGAGTTTGGGTGAGGGCTCTGGGGCCTGGGACGAGAGGTTGTGGTGTGGGAGTGGGTGAGGGGTGCAGGTTTCAGAAGAGAGTTTGGGTGCCAGGTGCAGGCTCTGGGCTGGGGCAGGGGGTTGGAGTGTGGGAGGGGGTGCAGGCTCTGGGAGGAAGTTTGGGTGCAGGAGGGGGTTTGGGGTGTGGGCTCTGGGAGGGAGTTTGGGTGCAGGGAGTGGGCTCTGGGCTGGGGCAGAGAGTTGGGATGTGGGAGGGGGTGAGGGCTCTGGGAGGGAGTTTGGGTGCCAGCTCTAGGCTGGGGCTTGGGATACAGGGAGGGGTGCAGGCTCTGGCCAGGCGGCGCTTACCTTGGGCAGCTCCTGAAAGCAACCAGCACATCACTCTAACAGCAGCTCCCAGGTGGGGGGACCAGAGGGGTCGCCACATGCTGCCCATGCCCACAGGCCCTGATGCTCAAAACAACAAGAAGGAGCATTGCCTGTGGACAGGCACCTAGCTACAAAAATGTTACCCTTCAACTTAGACCTTAGGAGATAAGAACTGCCCTTTTCTAACAATCATAAAACAAAAAGCATGTCTGCCTCCCCATAACAAACCCCCTTTCCACCAAACCTAATAATAGCAGTTGCCTGATACAGAAAACATATCTAAAATTAATAATCCTCTTGAGATGTAGATGTTTATACTCATCAGCAACATTCTTCATGCTTTTGTCCTGCAAGAAAACACATGATTAACTGGCATGCAGTCAGATCGTTCTATGACCTTCATTAGCAGCACCAAATGCTACTAACTTTTCACTAACTGCTGTAAATGAAACAAAGATTATGGAGCTTAGGTTTCTGGCTACAAACCTGAATAAACAACAACAAAGTGGCTTAGTGAGTGTTACTGAAACCACACTATGTGTCACTGCCTCAGAAAAATAACTATTTAATTCAATAAACAGCTGTGAACTGCACATAGATCAGAGATGAAGGTAAATTTCTTATTTTATTTTCAGCATGGGTGCTGCAGTAAGAGATCTTCCATTGACTGTTCCTGTCTGAACTAAGGAAGTAGCTCTGCTGTTCGGTTACTTTGTCATTCACCAACAACTTCAACATCACCCTAGCTAGACCTGACCTCCAAGAACAGTGTTCACTTGACCTTAAGACCAGAAAGGCTCTTCCTCTAAGCTTTCTTTTGTCATATGAATTCTATGTCTTCTGAGAAAAAGAAAGCACTGCTAGCTCTGTTCTCAACCTGCATGTCAAACACTATAGCATATAATGCCCTCCATTTCTATCTACATTTTTTTTTTCAGTCAAAGGTCATTTTAGCTTACCCCTCTTCAATTCTCCCAAAATAAATCTGCTTGTTTAACAGAATAAATGAAACTGGAAAGGCCATTATATTAACTATATTACCTACCTGATCCTTTTGGGAAGGGATTGTACTCATGATCGTAAAACAACGTTGTGGTGTTTATTATATTTTATAAATGCACACAGGGATTGTGCTGGGTGTACATTTTAGAAAACCAAAAATCCAGTAAATAACCCTAATTACCATCCATTTTCCTGAAATAAACATGACTACCTTCTTAGACACTCAATGTGGATCAGAGCCATGGAGTTTGCACCTGGATTTGGATCACAATTTAAACTTTCCCAAAATGTGGGTGTATTTGGATTTGTAATTCAGGCTCGTGGTAGAGAGATGCCCAAGCTGTAAAGTTTGGATATATATCTAGATCCTAAAGTTTGGCTCTGATCCTGCAACTGGATCCATGTGGGTGAACCTTTACATCAATATAGAGTTCTATGGAAGTCACAGATGTTCTACATAAGTGTAAAGGTCCACTCAGAGGGATCCAGTTACAGTCTGGGGACCTATGTGTGTCTATATGTGGTGATAAGCAGGGGACAAATTCAAGCCACTGTTCACTTCAGGCCCATTTCTAACATAAATCACAGTATCTTGTCTTTTCTTGTTTTTATTCTTCTGGAGGGGGACATGAATAAGTGTTCGCATCACACTCCCAGTCAGTAACTGGCCTGAGCCAGGAAAGCTAATAATCCAACCAGTGGACCAAATTCAGTGATGAATCCTGGTCATGTGCTGCCTGAGGCACACTGTGCATACACTAAGAAGAAGATTCTTCCGGTGAATTCTTCCAAAAGAAAACTGATGGAAAATACCAAATGGGACTACATATGAAAACCAAAGGAACTAGTGATGACAACCAAAAATGACACAGAAAAATTCTTATAGCACATGGTCTCATAAAATGTAAAGCAGACTAAATCAGCTTGATAATGTAATCCACCTGACAATTGGCAAACCACTCTGTCTCAATACCTCAATCACCAGTGACATAGCAATCTGTTATCTTTACAGTAAAGGAAGAAAGCAATGTACAGAAACCAGGGATCATATTCTGAGACATAAAATTAACATAATAAGATGTATAAAGATATATTTTACAGTCATATAATATACAACCCCAAGACTGCTGATACTTGAAGGAGAGTAAAAACACATTAAGCATGGATTACAAAGTAGGTATCATTATTCAACCTCTCCTCATTTGAATCCCAACATAAGATTTACTTCTATTGTGGTGTCTACACATTATTAGCTAATCAAGATTAGGTAAAGAGATGGTTGGGGAGAGTATGCATAAACAACATGTATTATTACATAAGAACGGCCATACTGGGTCAGACCAAAGGTCCATCTAGCCCAGTATCCTGTCTTCCGACAGTGGCCAATGCCAGGTGCCCCAGAGGGAATGAACAGAACAGGAATCATCAAGTGATCCATCCCCTGTATGAAAAGACATGAAATGATCAAGACATATGCCAGTCATCTCCTTCACCACTTTACTTGTATGTTGCACCCTTTTCCTGACACAATCTCTTTGTCTGTCTTTTTGCCCCAAAGATCTTACAATCCAAAGACTGTTTCTTCTAATACAGGGGTGGGCAACGTTCGGCACGTGGCTCGCCAGGGTAAACACGAGCGATGTGCCTGCCGCGGCTTCTCACCGCCCCCATTGGCCCGGGACGGCGAACCGCAGCCAGTGGGGGCCACGATCGGCCGAATCTGCCATGTCAGCAGGTAAATAAAGCTGGCCTGGCCCTCCAGGGTGCTTACC